CTTCAAGCCTTTAAGACCCCAGACGCTATAGCTTTTGATAGCCTGGCACTATCAGCTTTCTTCACCACATTTGCTTATTCACCAGCTTTCTCTTCAGTGGTTGTGTCAGGAAGGTGAGCATCATAGAAATAATGCATTACTCTCATAGACTGATTTCAAGTTTCTTTAAGCCTGTAGTATGTTATTACAGTTTCTGTGATGGCACTACAACTTTTTGCTTGCTTTATGAGCTATGTATTTGCTCCCTAATCATTGTCAATAGGTACCATCAAATCATTTACAACTCATGGCACTCTGTGTACAACAGAACAAGACACTGCCCGGACCTGCGCCCTCCTAACAATTGTTCCTGTGCTTGTTGCAGCCACTATGTCAATCCATATTACCAAGGGCCTTACTCTTTTTTTCTGCCTCTCTGCTGAACCACACCTGATGTCCTTTTCCAGGGACTGGCCTCTCTTGACATATCCAAAATATGTGAGACAAGTCTCCCTTTCCTTGCCGGTAAGGAGCATTCTGGATCTACTTCTTCAAAGATAGATTTGTTTGTCCTTTAGGCGGTCTGTTGTACTTTCAGTATTCTTTGCCAGCATCATAACTCAAGTGCACGGATTCTTCAGGCTTCCACATTCACATGCCTATGAAGCAACTGAAAATGCCATGGCTTGGGTCAGGGCACACCTTAGTCCTCAAAGAGACAACCCTGCTTTCAGCACTTTGCAAGCGGTTTTGTGCAGCGGATTTGCCTAAGGCAATGTGTTTTGTGCAGCGGATTTGCCTAAGCCAATGTGTCCTTTGATATAAACTGCTGCTTCCATAAGCACTGATTCCACAGTCCACATAAGACAAAATTCCTTGACAACTTCAAACTTTTCTCCATTTACTCATAATGTTCCAGTTTTAAGGATTTTGGTGGCCTTTACACTGAGTTGGTGTTCACACTGGAGGCTGCAATCCTTGATCGTCATCAGCCAGGACTTCATCTCACTTTTAAGAAGCAAGGTTGTGTCATCTGCCTACCTGAATTTCCAGAATATCCAAGAACAAATTTGTTGCATTTTACACTAATGAAAGAGCTGTGGGATGTGATATCAAGAACATCATACATGAAGGGAAAAAGCCTTTTAAAAGACAAGAAAGAATGAAAGAAAAGATAAAAGTGGATGACAGAAGAGAATCTCAAACTTGTATTTATTCAAAGTAACTAAGGCATATTGGAAGAAATGAGTCAAAGAGCTGAACAAAAAATTAAGTAAAATGTAATGAAATATTCAGAGACCTAGAGTTAGAAAACCAAAAAGGAAGAGCACGCTCAGCATATTTTAAACTGAAAGAACTCACGAAAAACTTTAAGCCTTGAGTTGCAATTTTGAAAATTTTTATGGGCAAAATAGTGAATGATGCAGGAAGTATCAAAAGAAGATAGAAAGCATACAGGCTCACTGCTAAAAAGAACCTGTTGACATTCTACCATTAGCATATGAGCAAGAATTAATGGTGCTGAAGGAAGAAGTGCAATGCACTTGAAAGCATTAGTCAAAACCAAGGGTCCAGGGATTGATGGGATAGCACATTTGACTGTGGGAATTCCAGTCTGTGAGCTGAGCAAAAAAATCCGAGAAGCAGATTTATATGAAGAAGAATGTGGCATCAGGATTGGAGGAAGGATTCTTAAAAACCTGCAATATGCAGATGACACAACCTTACTTGCTGAAAGTGAGGATGACTCGATGCACTGGTTGATGAAGATCAAGGATTGCAGCCTCCAGTGTGGATTGCAACTCAATGTCAAGACCACCAAAATTCTCACAACTGGAACATCATGTTAAATTATTTTTGTCTTGCTTGAATTGTGGAATCAGTACTCATGGAAGTAGCAGTGGATATCAAAGAACGCATTGCCTTAGGTAAGTCACTGCACAAAACCTCTTTCAAAGTGTTGTCAAGCAGGGTTGTCACTTTGAGGACTAAAGTGTGTCCTGACCCAAGCCATGGTATTTTCAGTTGCTTCATAGGCATATGAAAGTTAGACGTTGAATCAGGAAACCTGAAGACTCCGTGCATTTGAGTTATGGTGCTGGCAAAGAATATTGAAAGTACAACAGACTGCCTAAAGAGCAAACAAATCTATCTTTGAAGAAGTAGGTCCAGAATGCTCTTTAGAGGCAAGGATAGAGGGACTTGTCTCACATATTTAGGACATGTTGTCAGGAGAAGCTAATGGAATATGGAGCCTTATTCTAGCTGATTATCTTCTCCAACCCACCCACCCCAGATTAGCAAGTTGAGAACTCAAGTACAATAGAATTTTATAGGTTTTTCAGTTTACAGTGGAAACTTCACATGTAACAATTTACCAGGCTGGTAAAACTGAATCAGGATGATAATCAGAAAATGACTGATAAAAGTCCCTTCGCTACAAAGTAGTGGTATGACTGAACTAGATAGGACTTTCCAGTTCATGCTAGGATTGTGTCTTGTGATTGTTCTATGTCCTGTAAATATAGATACTTAGTTGACATACTGGCTTATCAAAACAAATTACCTTGGAAACCCCTTATCAGACTATAAAGTAGTGGGTAAAGTCTGACAAATTTCAAGAGGTTTTTGTTGTCTTATAATGGTAGTACATATGCCTATGACAAGTAGTTTAAGCAAATCTTGGTTCAAATATGAGAAGGTTTCAGAAGTTCACGGGGAAATACCATTAACCTTTTAATTCCACTCTTCAGTGGACTTTTTGGAGCCCCTTGTTTTTGTACTGAAAGTTTTATTTTTCAGATAATAGCATCTTATGGAGATGATATAGTTGCTTTAAAGGAAGAAGTCAAGTGACTGAAGTGCACTGTGGCTGGCTTTGGACTTAAAATCAAAAGCATAGCTGATTCTATGTCATGTATCTATTGAATATTACCAGTAACCAGGTAGTTGCATATTTGTGGGGAAAATCACCAGTCATTTGAACCATTATTATTTACAAAATAACCTTATAACCTTCTGTGTTGACAATTAGAAAAATCTATAGTTAACTTTCTGGATTCCTACAAGTTTTGGATTATCTCCACAATGATAATGTGAAGATAATTTACTTAGTTTCTTTATAGTTGGTAAATTATCAAGAAACCTACTCTAGATATGCTTTTTTTAATTTACATTTTTATTTTATTTCTAGGCCTATCATGGTCACCATCAAGCACTGGAAGTGTTGGTACAGTCTTTGTTAGATCTTGATGTAAGAAATAATAGTGGAAGAACGCCCTTGGATCTTGCAGCATTTAAGGGCCATGTTGAATGTGTGGATGTACTTATTAATCAGGGAGCCTCCATATTAGTAAAAGATTATATTTTAAAGAGAACACCTATACATGCTGCAGGTATGCCAAGTATTTTGATTTATCTACCTAATTTCCTTATCTTTTTTCACTTCTAAAATATATTACTCCTGGATTGTGCTTACACATTTAGTAACTTGAAATGGTAGAATGATTGTTTCCTTACAAAGAAACCAACAGAAATTAATTTTTTTTTTAATCATCTGCCTTAGAAACTGGGTTTCTAACTCTTCTAAAATAGTTCCTCAACAAATAATGCTGTTTGTTTTTACTTTCTGATTAACGTTATTTTGGATTACTTTATGCTTTCACTTAGCAATTGATGTACGTTATGTTCTAATTGTATCAGTGCACTGGATATTTTTTAGGAAAGATTTAAAGAATCTGAACATTATTCAGGACCTACTAGGTTATTCTTTTTGATGGTACAACTGAAGATTTGTAGCCAGTTGGTTTTAATGACTCGATATCAGCTGTGTGTCACTAGGAGATGCAGGACAACTATGATTAGGGTCACTTAGTTTGGTCTGTGTTTATAGGTTGATTCTTAACATGTTTTAATATGTTTCTAGTCCCACTCTTCACCAGAGCAGCTTTTTAGAAACTATCAGATACTCATGAGGTCAGAGAGGAAGCTTGTAAATAATAACAATAAATTTGTACATAGAAATTGGTATATGGTGGCAGGAATAAGATTTAAAATAACTATTTTCTATTTTCCTGAAAAAGTGAAATTATGTCAGTCTGCTCTAGAAAATAATGTGTAACTACAGATCATTGCCAGAGCTAATTTAAGACTTTCATGGAATGTTTACACTCATTGGTGTTGCTGCTGAGAATGTACACAGCAGAACGTAGTCAAAAGTTTCTTCCCATGCAGTTGAAAGGATGATTTGATTCTTCTAATTGTGCCACCATTCCCATCCTCCTTTTCGATGTTGTTCCTCCTCTATTGATACAGATTTTATTGCCTCTAAGTTTCCTGACTACTCTTTCAAACTACTATAGTCAATTTGATCTCAGGTAGATTTTTTTTTTGTAGATCTTAATGAAATGAGCAATGCTCAAGGCAGACATTCTTTACAAATTAGGCTAATCGGTTGTTGTTTTATTGACTTAAGGGGATATTTGAGTGTTTGCACTCTTAACGGATGAATATTGAACCAAGAAAGACATTAGCCAGTAGTCCCTCTGAAATTATTAGCCCATACTGAAATAATTAACCACTGCTGGGCAATCCAATGTAAACCCTTACTCCCTGTAAAAGTATAGGTCACTATTACCACCTACTTATTCAACAAATTCAAGCCTTTCTTCTTTTGATGCATTTCAGATTTGGACGTCTACATCTTACTATTCCTAAGTCATGGGGAAAAAATCACTAAGATTCTTTCTGGAGGTCAATTGGGTTTTTTTCTCCACAGTGATATTGCACAGTTAAAGTTATTAGTAGCTGCTATGCACTGAGTATAAGCGAATTGATTTTTTAAAATAATAATAATGAGTCAAATACAGTCCCCTTGAGCCATCCCCAAGTGCTGTTGTAACAGTGTTGCGATTACTGAGAGTTGCTGGCAGAGCACAACATACAGAAGGGGAGCTTAGTCATTTGAGCCCAAAGCCTTTAATGACTATCAGACTTTGATGTACCCTTTACAAAGTATTGTCAAATATTAGGCACCTGGCAAGCTTTACAGTCTTGGAAACCCACAGGGGCAGTTCTACCCTGTCCTATAGGGTCACTAGGAATTGGAATCAGCTTGGTGGCAGGGAGTGAGAGTGAGTGTGCTTTCACTCGTATGAGAGGGCCTTACAAAATTCTTGGGACAATGTTATTGTCTTTTAATTCCATTTTCCATGAAATTAGTGAAGCCCCTCTTATTGTCACTTTATTTAGGAAGAAGAGTGATAGACATTTATTTTTGCATCGTTATGTGGCTTAATGTATTTCTATAAACTTCAAATAGTACTGTACTGTGGGCAGGATCTAAAATTTGCAAAGAATTTAACTTACACTAAAAGATTACTGTTTATTTACTTTGTACCGCAGCTTCATTCATTTGGGTATGTAACTGTATACTTCAGATACGTTTTCTTTCTGTATGTCATTTGGGCCCCATGCTCCCTCTCTCCCAACTGTCAAGTAACCAAGTGCCCAACTAAAAGTGGGCTTAAATGGCAGGAGTTTATACTCAAAGAAATGAATGTAGTTCTAGAGTTAACAGAATCTGGATCAGATTCGCTGTTATTCTCCTGTCTTTGCACTTAGCACTTAAATTGCATGGTGGCTGCTGCTGCTTTATGGCAATCATAACAGAAGTAGAAATATATAAGGACTTTTCATTATCAGGGATAAAAATGTTTCCTAGACACCCTCCTGACATATTTCAGTGGTCAGAACTCACCTTGTGGTCATCTTGTAACTAACTACTCACTGACAAAGGGAATGAGGTTTCTATGATTGTCTTGGTCTGATCACTTTCCTCCTTCAGGCTGGAGCCAGCCACTTCTAGACCACATTGTCACCACCAGAGAGCTAAATAAAGTGAGCATCTTATTAGTATGGCAGATGATAAGAGTGACTCCTGAATAAGCCGCCTGTGTGCCTGCCATGATTTGCCATGAGAAATTTATGTATTCCTTTTTGTCTTTAAAGGCAGTAGAAATTGTCTTTGATGTACCTATAACTCATTTTCTTTCTTGTGTCCCAAATTCATTGAAATTCTTCCCAAAATCATATCCTAGGAAATGTGCTTAAAGATGGACATTCTAGTTTATCATTACTAAAAAGTTTACATTTCATTTTACAGCAACAAATGGTCATTCAGAATGCTTGCGGCTATTAATAGGAAATGCAGAACCACAGAATGCAGTAGATATTCAAGATGGAAATGGGCAGTAAGTTTCAAGATTTTAAATTTTATTTTTGGATGTTTCCCTCTATATTCTTGTTTCTGTATTAGTAAGTTTGCCATAGTGTACCAAAGTAATATAGGCTCACATTTTTATACATATGTATATAGATAGGTATTTGTGTGTGTGTATGTGTGTGTATATATATATATATTTTTTTTTTTTAATGTACTGAAGTCAAATCAAAAAATGACATCTTTATCCAACAGGTTATGGCATTATTTACTATTTACAGCTTGGATTCATAAGCGCTAGGTGTAAATATGGTATTGATTTTACAGTGACTGATCTCATATGTGTAAAGTCAATATATCTTTAATTCTGAATCTATACTTGTTGCCCAGGACGCCTCTGATGCTGTCTGTTCTCAATGGGCACACAGACTGTGTTTACTCACTACTAAACAAAGGAGCAAATGTAGATGCCAAAGACAAATGGGGAAGGACAGCGTTACATAGAGGGGTAAGCCAAGATAGTCCCATTTTGTATGCTTTTTAGTAATTTTGATATTCAAACCCTAATGTTGAACAATACAAAGCACAAATTCAGGGATCGATGATTTTGGAGCAAAATTCTTAAATATTGATGCCAATAAACATTAATGTCAATGTGAAGTTTTTGTGTTGCCTCATTTTCTGTTTATAAACCATTTCTATTAAAAAATATGAAAATGATAAAATGCAAGGTGTTTGGCATATCCTTAATTTGAGGAAATACATAAAAAAAGACATAAATATCTTTTTAATTATCTGTTGTTAGTTTGTGGCACCCCCTCTTATCTATTTGACTTCGTGCAAATTATTTTTCTTCCAGGCAGTTACAGGCCATGAAGAATGCGTAGATGCATTACTTCAACATGGTGCTAAGTGCTTGCTTAAGGATAGCAAAGGCCGCACGCCAGTACACTTGTCAGCCGCCTGTGGGCACATTGGTGTCCTTGGAGCCCTTTTGCAGTCAGCAACATCTGTGGATGCAAATCCAGCCATTATGGACAATCATGGATATACAGCGCTTCACTGGGCTTGCTACAATGGTAAGTAAACAGGCACAAACCTGCATTAAATCTTTGTTCTGAGTTAAATGCTATGACACACCAAGCAAGAAGCCCTGGTGACAACAGGGCTAACTGCAAACTTCCGCAGTTTGGAGAAAGCCAGTCTTTCTACTCCAGTAAAGAGTTCTGTCTCAGAAACTCAGGGGCACTTATACCCTCTTCTGTAGGGTTGCTGTGAGTCGCTATCGACTCGATGGCAGTGAAGTTTTTTGTTCTTTGTATATTTGCCAGGGATAATAACTCCAATACATAGTAATTGAGATTGTAATCGGAATAACCTGTTTCTAAGGCAGAGTTAAAGTGTAAGGATGAGGAGGAAGCCTAGAATAATCTGCTGCTACTGTGTCTCACTCCTGTCCCTTGTCGTGCTAAAGCTAAGGCAATGCTCTCCAAGGCATTTAAGGCCAAGACTAGGTGACATTTTTCTTACACATTTGCTTCAAGTATTTACTTCATTATATTTCCTGTGCCTTTCCTATATAGTATGTTTGTGTTGTGATTATCTTTACTTTCTGATTACAGTTGGAGTAGGATAAAAAGACAAAGGAGAAATGATAAGATGTAGCACAGCCTAAAATTTGTGTATGTTTCTAGGCACATCAGAAGATAAGGTCCTTACATCAACATTGACATTCATGCACAATAATAACTAAATCTTAGCAGATCATAGAACTAGAGGCGCTCATGGCTTACGTGATTTAAAAATGTAAAACCAAACTCATTGCAACCCTCTATGGGTTTCCAGGACTATAACTATTTATTTATAGGAGTAAAAAGCTTCATCTTTCTCCCGTGGAGCTACTGGTGGTTTCAAACTGCTGACCAGTCGGATTGCAGCCTAAAACCTAACCGCTACACCACTAGGACTCCTTTTACCATATGATTAGAACAGACTCACTTTAGAGGAGCACAGCCACATTTATTCTTTTAATAGCTAAATTCAAAAAAGATCCTTCAGGAACACATAAAACTATTTTTAAGGTATTAAAAATGGAGTCAGGCTTATGAAATGCCCACTAACTAAAATAAGGTGTTAAGGTGTGTTCCGCTTTCCCTGTGTAGAGCCTGAGATTTCACCATCTTAGAAAACACTGGTAGCAATAATCCTATCAAAGCTAAGACCTAGGACTTAAGCAGAGAGGTTGTGGAGCTTCTGAATTTGTTCTGAATTTTAATGGTGCTTTGAGATTATTGACATATTAGTCTGTAGTTTACATTTCTGACAGTGTTCCTTCAAAGTATATAGAAAATCTAAATTGTCCCTTCATATAAATACCCTTTTGATAAAATAGTATCTGTTCTAAAATTCAGCTGAATGACTTATCTCCAGGTTGAGGTTAACTGTCTTTCTATAATATGCTTTTTATTGATTCTTTCACTGAGAGCCATTCTGGCAGATAATGTTGGGTTTTAGGTGGACGAGAAATCTGATTCTTGTATAGTTAAATTAAGTAAGTATTTCTATATGTATTTTCTAGGTACAGTGTTTTCCATTTCTTAGTAATCCTTGAACCAAAGTTGAAAGTTCATTCTTTTGCTATGAAAAAAGTTGCTCCTCTTCAGGAATTTCTGTGATTACTGTTAGTTATCCATTCAGAACATGCTCTTGGTGCCATAAAAATCTTGGATGATAGTTAAATGTATTGTTGATTTAAAGCTTAGTTCAGTAATAACTTCTTTTTTTACTATCTCGTGTACAAGAACAGTTTTAAATTCTCTTTATTTTTTCAGTTAATTAAAGTTAATACTATTTAATATAGTGGTCCTAAGTCAGAGAAGATACTGTATAATCGTCCTTAGGCAGAGAAAATACTGTACTTTGGCATTAAAACTTGATTTTTTTTAATGCAGTACTTAACATTTGATACTTGTTAATTCTAACTAACCCATTTAGTACAGTGGGAAAGCATCCACAGATGGGAATTTTATTTATCAAAGAAGTAGTGAGATAGAAACTGTTTAGAAGCAAAGACTTGTAATACATACCTATATAATTGAAAATTAACTACTCTAAAAAGCATATAGTAATCGTATTTTTCTTCAAACAAGGTAGTGTGACTTATTGTAAATATCCTGCTGTAATGTCTTTTGGAGAGTTGCTCTATTACAGCCTTTCTTGTCAGGCCTGTATGGAAAGAACTGTCCTCCAAAGTGAGTTCCCACCTATCACTGCTGAATGTAGAGTCTCTAAGCACATTTTGTACGAGACAGAATTTTTAATGAACTGCTTGCCTGTTGCCATTTAAAGATCAACAGATGTGTCTAATTTCTAGACTGTAACAAATTTATAGTGATTCTGAATTGAACTGGAAAGAATTAAACATGCATTGACTTTGTGCAGTAAAAGGCTATAGAGGCAGTGTAAAAGTAATACTGTATTTACAGCTAAAAGCCTATTTTATAATTTGGCATTCTGAGAGTAGAATATGTACAATGGTTTTACTTTGAACAGTAATTATTTTATGGCTGGAAAAACTCACTCCAACAGAACAGAAAACAACGTTTCTCTTAAAATTGAATTATGGCCAGGTTTTAGAAAAGAATTGGCAACACATAACTAAACTTAAACTTACAGTTTATGTCACCATTAAGTCATAGACCTTTAGGATCCTTACTTTGTTCCTCTTTTAAATTTGTTAATTTTTTTAAGCTTTACACATTGATAATATTCTTCTGGAACAAGGAAACCAGGTTTATCATTTTGTCTGTCATAATCTAGGAGACAAAATGGGGACATTGTCAATTTTTTTTTTTAACATAAATTAACCCATTTATTACAGGCCAGAGAGGTTTCAGATAGTGGAGCTTCTCCTGGTCTTTCAATCCCTTCAGTCTTCTGATGGCGGACTTGACTGTGACAGCAGAGGTGGTATTGTAGGTCCAGGCTCCACCAGCTCCTGTCTTCATGCAGGAACCGCAGTGCCAGATGCCCACAACGTGCCTCTTCGTCTTGGTTTTGCCGCAGAAGGAGCAAGTGTACTTGGCATGTTGGCTGATTTCAATTTTCTTCACCATTTTCCTGAGGGAGGCACCGTAACGAGTCCCGTATTTGCCCACGATCCCGACCTTGGTGCGTTTGGCCATCTTGCCGCAAACTAGTCCCAGGCCAGAGAACGAGATTGTCATTTTATGTCACTCAGTAATGATTGCTGGAGGTGACCAAGAGTGCAACGAATCCCTCTGCTCCGTCTGTACTCTTTTTTTTTTTAATTATTTTATTGGGGGCTCGTACAATTCCCATCACAATCCATATATACATCCATTGTGTCAAGCATATATGCACATTTGTTACCATTTGTAAGATACTGGTTCTCGAGTCTTAAGGTCGCAGGATTTGTCCACACTTCATGGTAACCTCACAGAGCTTTTCAGTATCATTTTAGCTAGAGGGAAACCTTCAACAAGATAGATTGACAGTGTGGGCACAATAGTGGGCTTAAACATAAAATGATTGTGAGGGTCAAGCAGGACCAGGCAGTGTTGTGTTCTATTGCTTGTGGGGTCGCCATGAGTCAACCAATTTGATGACACCTAACAGTGATATTGTTACTCGCCGTATTAGAAATTAGGACGAGGAGTTTTAAAGCAGATTTGTTTATATGAAAATCTCAACACTCCGTCGGACAGGGAAAGATATGACAAAATAACAATTTATAAACTATCAAGGTTCTCATGAGGGAGGCGGGAGCGGGGAGGGAGGGGAAAAATGAGGACCTAATGCCGGGGGTTTAAGTGGAGAGGAAATATTTTGAGAATGATGAGGGCGATGAATGTACAAATGCGCTTTACACAATTGATGTGTGTATGGATTGTGATAAGAGTTGTATGAGCCCCTAATAAAATGACTAAAAAAAGAAAAGAAAATCTCAACTCTCAAGCTAGTACATGTTATTATAATTAACATTTTTATTAAGAATAATATTCGCGCCCCCACCCTTTTTTTTTTTTTTTTTGAGAAGGGCAGCAAATCTTGAGTTTTCAGCCTTTTGTGACATCACCCCAATATTCAGTGCTCTTGAGAACCAGGAAAATGGAAGGCCCTTAATAAATATGGACATTTTTGCCACAAGTTTTTAGCCTTCAGAGAAATGGTATTTAAAGCAAAGATTTTTGACCTTAGCACTATTGATATGAGTGGGCCACATATTTCTTTGTATCCAGTTGTATTAGTCTAGGTACTTTGGAGAAACAAATCCACAGCAACTCATGTATAAGAGAGAGTTTTATACAAAGAAAATGTGCATCACGAAAACATCCCA